TAGCATTCAAGATCACTGGGCACTACTCCTGTTTTGGTATCTAGTTATATGTTGCCAACATAGTTCAACAGGTTTCGTCGTCTAGCCGTGTAGCGTGTTCATAGTTCTTTTGTGGGGCGAGTTTTCTCCATATTGTTAATACTGGGTATCTTTCTCTCATTCCAATAAAAATACACACAACACGATAGATTCAGTTCAATGATGTCGGCTCCGGGCAGAGCTAGGAGTCGGAGCTTCTAACACGCCCATCACAGACTTTCTTTTTTATTGCTACTCAGCTGAAAAACATACAACAGTATAAATTCTAGAAGATTCTGACGCAAACTCTGCCCTCTGAAGTTGAACCAATCACATGGCAATGGCTCATCATATTGAAATATTAAGCCGCTAGCATTATTAATAGTACATGGTGTCATGATCTGGGATAGGTTTGTATCTATCAACCACAACCCCAGGAGGTCACTTGCTGAATGCTTTATGTAAAGAGTACAGTTATTAAAGTTGCTTGTTGCAGTTTGGCATCCTGATTGTGAAAGTTTATAATTATACGACGAAAAACATTTCTATACTTGTTTTTATCTTAATTGGCGCACGTAGTTATAGTAGCCCAGGGTTACGGAAAAACGTTATAGCTACACTAATTGTCTACATTCTAACAGCGTTCCTGGATGGTATACTGTCAGTAGTTTCACATGTCTAAATGTGTCCACTTCTTAGTTGTTTATATTATCCCAATTATTCATTGATAAACTCTGCATTTTTGTTGCCATCAATGCATGTAAATACATCACAGTATTTGTGTCACATTTAGCTTACTATTTTAAGCACTGAAAAAAATACCGAAGCATCTTATTATTATAATTTTATAAACACACAAAGGAAACAAAAAACAGAAACCAAAAAAAGTCGAAGTTGAAAAATGTTTCGAGTCTAATGCAATATGGTGTACAGTAAAACCCAGACAATTCTAAATTAAGGTTAGCATTCACAGAAGTGTCACGTGGTTACATCTAAATGACGTTCGTTACACCTGTGTTCTTTGTTGCCATGCAACACAAACGCCGAATCCATAATTTAAATAAATCGTACACTAATTCAATGAACTCTATCAATGTGAGGAATGATATACCAATCCAGAGTCCCACCTGTCCACCGAGATCACTGGCTAAACTTTCTTCCTACAAAATAAAACAATATGTTACTAAACTACAGTCAATGCCCTGTATTCATTAATGTGTATGGATTCGGTTATATGAGGTTTACTTTATGTACTATAATACAAACTAGTACATACAAGATTTACGAGACTAAATCAGTACGTATGTATCACTCGTACATAATACACTGCACTGGTACAGGCATACACATTTAGTTGTCATTGTATTCGTAAACAATATTCACAATAGCCTTTTCTATACTTTGTGTCCTCTAACAGCGACACGCGTATGTTACGTAAATTGTATTTTCTTCCTTTTAATCATCATTTAATCTATTGTAATGCTTATTTAACAAGAACTACAAATAATTCATGGGCCCCGGAGAAGGTCTTTGATAAACCACAATAATAATTGTGAACCAACATGAAATCGATTATTGAAATTAGATTAAATTCACAAAACTGTCAACATAACACAAACATTGTTGTGTTTAGGGTACACTGTGATAACGTTGAATTGTCACTGTCTAGTCAGTTAAACACTTACCGTGTATGCAATGGATTGCGTGATTCCTTCATAGTTCAGATCTTGATAGAACACCTGCAGTTTTACGATGTTTTCTCTATAGGTGGGAGGAGGTACGTATTACATAACGGTTATCATGGTAATGTACAGTAGTTATCGAACGTAACTTCAAAGCAGTGATGTAAGTAATGTACACGTCATTAATGAAGTAGTCTAAATATTACCTTACAAACTCGTTTCCACCTTTTTCTTCTTCCTCTATCATCAGCTTTAATTGTTGGCTTTTCTTTTTCAACTGCACATTAACGTAGTCCTGGAACAAATATGACATTACGTCATACTGGTATGCCATATTTGCTCCAATAAAACACGCATTTAGTGTCCTATGGATAACAACTTAAAGCGGGAGGGTCTCACCTGCGCACGCACGGGAATTGAGTACCAAGCGACGATAACAACACACACTAAAAACGCAAAGGCACATGGGTAGACGCTTGTTTGTAAACAATGACACGCTATGGCCATCTGACACATGTGCAGGTGACGACTCTTCCGCATTAAATGTCACGTGTACTTCACCGTTATCTTCATGGACCAGGTTATTATTGAATAAAGTGTTATGAATTACAATCCACTTAAATATATCCTTACCTGTGCATTCTTTGAAGGCCATTTTGCCGATGATATGTCCGTCATGAAAGTAGCTGTACTGAAGAAGAAAGTTGCAACATCAATTGTACATGCCAGTGGAGACACACAGACGCATACAACCAAATCTACATCACTGATCAGCAAGACGGTAAAATACAATCATTTGCCATTATGCACTAATTTGTGGTGATAATTTGTTGAATTTTAATCTTTCCTTGACATAATAGTATATCAGAAAACCAAATTGCGTTGCTAATGTCATTGATTTGGTGTTTACTGGATAGTAACGCTATTTGATGAATTGTTTTAATTTGTCTATGTAAGTGAGTCACAGAGATTGAATTGAACATACCATGCTTTTAATATGAAAATATCATTTGATTATCTGGAGTGTAGTCTTGGATATATACAGTACAAATGTTCTTCGCCGCAAAGGTCACTACTTCAAATAGGCATTGGTTGTTTTTGTGCCGTTACCAAGTTAAAGTCATAGTATGTACCGTTACTCTGTTGCAATCGTAGTATGTACAGAAACCCAGCTGAAGTCGTAGCATATACTGGTACTCAGTTGCAGTTATAGTATGTACAGAAACTCAGTCACTCAGTTGAGGTCCTGGTATGTACCGGTACTCAGTCATAGTATGTACCGGTACTCAGTCATAGTATGTACCGGTACTCAGTCATAGTATGTACCGGTACTCAGTTATAGTATGTACCGGTACTCAGTTATAGTATGTACTGGTACTCAGTTATAGTATGTACCGGTACTCAGTCATAGTATGTACTGGTACTCAGTTATAGTATGTACCGTTACTCAGTTATAGTATCACGATTCTGAATTTTTATGTGTAACATTATATTGTTTCTGTAGACCGGGACGACTGATTTTTGTGCTTCTATGAATCTCTCGACATGGACAACTGACTTTTAGATTTCATTTATTACTATTCCGACATTTTCGTGGTCGCATTTTGTATATATTATTAATACTCTGACATGTAAGTAAGTAAGTAAACGGGTAAAATCAGTGAAGGGGACCTAGGGATACTTTGTACCCCATTGTATAAATCAAAATACAGTGTATGTAAATACAATAACAAAAAACCTGCATGGAGAGGTTCACAAGCCCTAATATTACTAAACCGCCAGTTGTGAACTTTGAAACTCATTTATTAAATTAGGAATAATTAAAATATAGACATCATTACTGAGAATGAGTTATACATTTGTTACATAATATAATTTCTCATCTATATTGACAAATTTTTCTGGGGATTATTAATCTCTATAAACAATATTCAGCTCTCAGTTATAGTATGTACTGGTACTCAGTTATAGTATGTACTGGTACTCAGTTATAGTATGTACTGGTACTCAGTTATAGTATGTACCGGTACTCAGTCATAGTATGCACTGGTACTCAGTTATACTATGTACTGGTACTCAGTTATAGTATGTACTGGTACTCAGTTATAGTATGTACTGGTACTCAGTTATAGTATGTACTGGTACTCAGTTATAGTATGTACTGGCACTCAGTCATAGTATGTACCGGTACTCAGTTATAGTATGTACTGGTACTCAGTTATAGTATGTACTGGTACTCAGTTATGGTATGTACTGGTACTCAGTTATAGTATGTACTGGTACTCAGTTATAGTATGTACTGGGACACAGTCATAGTATGTACTGGTACTCAGTTATGGTATGTACTGGTACTCAGTTATAGTATGTACTGGTACTCAGTTATAGTATGTACTGGGACTCAGTCATAGTATGTACTGGTACTCAGTTATAGTATGTACTGGTACTCAGTTATAGTATGTACTGGTACTCAGTTATATTATGTACTGGTACTCAGTTATATTATGTACTGGTACTCAGTCATAGTATGTACCGGTA